GAAGCCATGGGGGGGGGATGTCGGGAGGGAGGGGGGGAGGGGAGGGAGGGGCTGGAACCACAAATCTGTTGTATTTTTGAAGTGCAATAACTTGGTGTTTTTGAAGACTGACAAGGGCTGCGCATTCCCTTTTCGTTGAGGTTGGTTCTGGAGGGCTGTCACACCCCCAGGGTGGGGACAGGGACCTGCAGGGCACCCCCACACCCCTGGGGACAGTGGAGTGACCTGCAGGGCACCCCCACACCCCTGGGGACAGTGAGGTGACCTGCAGGACTGTCACACCCCTGGGGACAGTGGGGTGACCTGCAGGGCAGTCACACCCCCAAGGACAGTGGGGTGACCTGCAGGGCAGTCACACCCCCAGGGGTGGGGACAGTGACCTGCAGGACTGTCACACCCCCAAGGCCAGTGGAGTGACCTGCAGGGCACCCCCACACCCCTGGGGACAGTGAGGTGACCTGTAGGACTGTCACACCCCTGGGGACAGTGAGGTGACCTGCAGGGCACCCCAACACCCCTGGGGACAGTGAGGTGACCTGCAGGACTGTCACACCCCCAAGGACAGTGGGGTGACCTGCAGGGCAGTCACACCCCCAGGGGTGGGGACAGTGGCCTGCAAGACTGTCACACCCCCAAGGCCAGTGGAGTGACCTGCAGGGCACCCCCACACCCCTGGGGACAGTGGAGTGACCTGCAGGACAGTCACCCAGGGATGGGGACCATGACCTGCAGGCCACTCCCAGACTTGGGGATGGTGACAGTGACCTGCAGGACTGTCACACCCCCAGGGGTGGGGACAGTGACCTGCAGGACTGTCACACCCCCAGGGGTGGGGACAGTGACCTGCAGGACTGTCACACACCCTGGGGACAGTGGGATGGCCTGCAGGACAATCCCACCCCCAGGGATGATGGCAGTGACCTGCAGGCCACCCCCACCCCTGGGCACACCTGGGGATGGTGACCATGATCTGCAGGGCTGGCACACCCCCTGGGGACAGTGGGGTGACCTGCAGGACTGGCACACCCCCTGGGGACAGTGGGGTGACCTGCAGGACTGTCACACCCCCAGGGATGGTGCCCATGACCTGCAGGCCACCCCCAGACTTGGGGATGGTGACTGTGACCTGCAGGCCACCCCCACCCCTGGGCACACCTGGGGATGGTGACAGTGACCTACAGGACTGTCACACCCCCTGGGGTGGGGACAGTGACCTGCAGAACTGTCACACCCCCTGGGGACAGTGGGGTGACCTGCAGGACTGTCACACCCCCTGGGGACAGTGGGGTGACCTGCAGGACTGTCACACCCCTGGGGACAGTGGGGTGACCTGCAGGACTGTCACACCCCAGGGGACAGTGGGGTGACCTGCAGGACTGTCACACCCCTGGGGACAGTGGGGTGACCTGCAGGCCAGTCACACCCCCAGGGATGGTGCCCATGACCTGCAGGCCGCCCCCACCCCAGGCACACGTGGCACTGAGCAGGAGCAGGGCCGGGGGGGCCCTTCCAGAAAATGCCAGGGGGGGAATCTCAGTTTTTAGCCAACTACCTCGGTAACTCCAATTCAGGTTTCTTCGAGCCCCGGGCCCGGCCGGGCGGGGGGAGGGCAGGGCCGAGGGCTCCGGGCTTTCCACTCCTCTGTCCCCCACTTTGGTGCCAGAGCCAAAGCTGCTCCCGTGCTCGTGATGGCAAAACGTTGTTGCTTTTGAGTTTGTGACCTGTCATAACCCTTTTGACTTTGATGTCTCAGAGAGTTTCTGTCGTGACCTTTGTCTGCTGACTCCTCCCAGCTCCGCTTCGCTCTGGGCCTCGAGGCTTTTCCCACCCGGACACCGGGATGGGCAGGGAAGGGCCCTGGGCTGTGCCCACGGGGTGATGCCCCTGTGCCCAAGGGTTGGCCCAAGGCTGAGCTGAGACCCCTGAGCACTGGGCAGGGGGGTTTGGTGTTGCTGGGCATTGCCAGACCCCAAACCCTCCATCCTTCCTTCAGCCCTTGCCCTGGGCACCCCAAACCCTCTGTGCTTCATCCTTCCTTCAGCCCTTGCCCTGGGCACCCCAAACCCTCTGTGCTTCATCCTTCCTTCATCCTTCCCCCCC